AGACAAGTTCAGACATGTTAAATACACACGGTACTATGAGACTATATTATCAGTCACATTACAGTGGCTTTGATGAGACAAAGAGGACCATTGAACACCAGATGGAGGTGCAACGTACTTAATTAGTAACGTAGAATGACACGCCTGAACATCAGTGGGTGGTGATTGGAGAGCACCACTGGTAGGTCCTTCTTCTTTTCTTTCCATTTATAATTTTTGTCAGTCTGTCTTGCTTTTCCCAAGCTCTTAATTGCCTTAATCACATGGTTGATCTTCTTTTCACTTCGTCATCTATGCTCAAATCAGACAAAAGAAACCAAACTTGGTTTGCTGTCTACGTTTTCTTTCTTTCTATTTCCTTCTTCCTTTTAGCTATGTGGTCAAGCGTTCCGCCTTCTTTGTCCAATAAGGTCTTTAACTGGCCTTAAAATGACAATAACACAACAAAAAACCAAAAAACAGTTGCTGAAATGTCCTTTCGGGCGTATACGATACTGCTAAGAGTGCACATTCCGCTCGCGGTGAGGATTTTGGCCGGTGTATATGTCACCGAACAAACACGGGTGTTACTGTTGGACTGTCCAAACATGAGGCCACCCAGTCTGTCCGGCTGCATTCTCAGTCCAGAAAGGACGCGACTAGCTGGAGGGCGCCACAGTCACTGGCAGGTCCTACTTCTTTACTTCTCTCTTTTCTGTCTGTCTGTCTGTCTGTCTGTCTGTCTGTCTGTCTGTCTGTCTGTCTGTCTGTCTGTCTTTTTGCCTGTCTGTCTGCCTGTCTGCCTGTCTGTCTGTCTGTTATTTGTCTTGCTTTTTCCAGCTCTAAATATGACTGTCATTGTGTCTCTGTGCTCCTCGCTACTCAAACTGGTTACTCAGACTTAAACAGAACTGACAAACACACACTTACATACACACACTATCTCTCTCTCCCTCTTTCTCTCCCTCTCTTTCTCTCTCTCTCTTTCTTTCTCTCTCTCTCTCTCTCTCTCTCTCTCTCTCTCTCTCTCTCTCTCTCTCTCTCTCTCTCTCTCTCTCTGTCTCTCTCATAAAAGTCTTCATTTCAGTCAAAACAAATTTATAAAGCAATACACGGATGCACTCGAAGGCACTGTGCAAATTTGACGCTTTTTCTTAGTGTTTGTCTTGGGGAGTCCGCTAGAAGATGTGTAACTCGATAACGGGTGACCAAACAGTGCACGTTTGACCCCTTCCCCTTTCGCACTACTCGTGGTCCGCGCTCGAGGATAGAACGGGCCTGATGGAAGATAATATGGCGTATTCTACATGATGTATGGAAGGTGACCTTAATTGACCTGGCCGAAGGGGATGACCCCTGTCGTGTGCGGTTCGCGTTCGTTGTCCCCAAGTTGTCCGGATGTGTCTTCTCTGAATCTCCAGAGGTTTAGTAAGTTTTAGAGCAGCGCACTTGCAACACGATTAGGTAACGTAAGTACCGAAGATTAGAGGTGTTACAAGAGAGTAACAAACACCAAAAAGGACGATAGATGTTTGATAGGAAAGAAGGAGCAAACCACGTCTGAACACCCGCCAACGACCCACTTCTCTGAATCTGTGGGTGGTTGGTATACGCTCTGGTGTGGTCTGCCCTTTTTGCTTCTGTTCGCTGTTGCTTTTATATCCTAACCTGTTCTTTGAGCGTTGTAACTTTTATCGCGCTACTCGTCATAAACCTATCGTCCTGAACTTGTTAGTAGTTGGCGGGTGCTTTGATGTGCTTTGCTCCTGTCCTGTCAAACGGCTATCGTCATTATCTCTGTTCCTTCTTTTCTGGGTATGTTACTCTGCACGCAGAACTTTTTTTTTAACCAATGCATGTTTGAAGTGTCGTAAAATGCTTACTAAAACGAAATCCTGAATCGAATGGATCTGATTACAAATGCCCCGTAATCCCAGCTGGTTTCATGTTGATTTCGGTGATCCAGGTTGGATTCCCCTCCTGGGCATTCTTTAATGTGTGTTGTTACTCTGAGTTGAAGCTCCCACCTATCGATACCTTACTGCTATTGGTGTGCACCTTTCAGAAAAGATGCACAAAGAGAAAGAGATAGTGACAGAGTAGTGAAGAATAGGGAAACAAGAAAACATTGAACGAACGATAAAGAAAGCAAGAGCGAGACAGACAGACAGGCAGGCAGACAGACAGACAGACAGACAGAGAGAGAGAGAGAGAAAGAGACAGAGAGAGACAGAGAAAGACAGAGAGAGACCGAGAGGACTCAAAGTTAGGTAGACAGACAAACGTTGAATTGTACCTGCGTAAGTTCACCGGGGATATTATGCACCTTGGCCTGTCCATATGGACCCCAGAACATGAACCTAAAACAGTACTCTGCGACCCCCACCCACCACCACCCTACCGTACTCCACCCCTCCCCCACGTCCTTTGACTCCCTTCTTTTCCTTCCTTTCGACCTGTGTGCCCCTCTTTCTGTCCCCGGGTCTTTGCGTGTTTTGTAAACTTATCGTCTAGGACTGCTGGAAATTCCATCTGTATTTATATTCGATGTCCTTGGGCTACTTTTAGGAACCGCATTTCCCTCTCCTTGTGTGTGTAAACTATATTTCTCTGTGTACACTCTATGCACCGCTTCGTTCGTTGTGAGTGGCAAGTTGTATAAAAATATTCTGTTGGCAGGCAGACGAAAAAGTCCCATATAATATAACTTCGATTACCGAAAGGTAGACATGTTACCTCCCTCCATGCATTATATTCCTTAGTTTACTACAGTTGTTATGCACCCCGTGGTGTTCTCTAAAGTTCAGAAAATTAATTATACGAGGCGTCCTCTGACTGTATTGTGTTTTAATGCTTTTTAAACCTTTGTGAGGTGTAGAGTTTGCTTGCGTGCTTGAAACCCTTTGCCTATCGATGAGTTGCGCGTGAAAAGACTTGGCGTGTTTGGGTGAAAATATATTTTCAGGACATGTCGTAAAAAGGCTCGGAACACCTTCATGTGCGTCACTCATTAGGATTGCGTCGTCAATGAAAGACGACGTGCGCAGAATACGGAGGTAACATCTGTAGCTAGCGGTGCGGGACAGGGTGTGGAGAGCAAAGGAGTGTGTGTGTGTCATTGTGTGAATGTGTGTGTGTGTGTGTGTGTGTGTTTGTGTGTGGGGTGTGTGTGTGTGTATGTGTGTGTGTGTGTGTGTGTGTGTGAGTGTGTGAGTGTGTGAGGGTCGTGGGTAATGTGTGGAGGTGTAAGGGTAAGGGATATGAACAATGAGTTTGTGTGTCTGAGAGAGAGGGGAGGAGGGGGGTCATGTAATATGCATTTGAAAAGGAAAGTATAGTATTGAGTTTGTGCGCGCGTGTGTATGTGCGTGTGTTTTTATGTTTGTGTGCACTCGTGCGTTCGAGGTGAAAATGCAGTGTGCATATATCTATATATACAAACAGACATGCAGACACCAACAGACAGCAGCAAATACCAAGCAACATATCTACAGATGGGCTCAAGAACGACAAGCAGATAGAATGAAAGATGAATGAAAGTAATCAAGCCGTGGCGGTGACGTGGCTGAACTATTTTCGACAGGTGCGCCCCGACACAACCCCCCCCCCCCCCCCTTTCCCGACTCTAGTATGGATACACAACACATATGATTACAAGACCAGACATCTGAGAATAGCGCACACACCTCAGAGTCAATTGATCAAAACCACACCCATTGAACTTGATCCAACCTAGTTTAGCGCACCTTTCTTTCCAGTAATAGAGAACGGATCCCTTTCCCCTCTCGGCAGTTTGCGCGGTTTGGACGAGTCTCACTGGACATTTAGATTCTATACCAAAGCGCCACTCCTCCGTGTTTCGTTTGGTCGTCTCAGATGGCGAATGTTGAAGCGTGAGAAATTCCTCAGGACCGAATAACAGTTACTTGCGGCTTGATTAAGAATTTCGGAGTGTATTGTTGGGGAAGATGAGGGGAGGTTGGGTTGACAATCCCTTTTTGCATGCCTGCGTATTTTTTTAAATAGTTTTTGCATTTTTGGGGGGGGGGGGGGGGTGGAATATTCGAAAATGTTTTTTGTTTTTATTATTTGGGAAACGGTTTGATAATCCTACTTCCGTACCGAGTGCTCAAACCGGCATTGATACACATTTATGCGTACACATGCACTCACAATTCTTATAATCTCTCCACATCAGTCCCCTCCCTCCGTCTCCTCTTTTCCTCCCCCTCTCCCTCTCTCTCTCTCTCTCTTTCTCTCTCTCTCTCCCTCTCTCTCTCTCTCTCTCTCTCTCTCTCTCGTTCTCCCTCTCTCTCTTCCTCTCTCTTTCTTTCTCTCTCTTTCTCTCTCTTTCTCTCTCGCCCTCCCCCCTCTCTCTGTCACTCCCCACACTCTTTTTCTCTCTCCATCTCTCTGTCCGTCCCTATCTACCTATCTATCTATCTATCTGTCTATCTCACGCACACAAACGCACGCCCACGCATATATTATACACAAACACACACACACAAACACACACACACACACACACACACACACACACGCACACACACACACACACTCACACAATTGCAATCTCCGACTTGTCTCTTTACTCTAACACGTCCACACAAGCATTCACCCATCCCCTCTCTCTCTCTCTCTCTCTCTCTCTCTCTCTCTCTCTCTCTCTCTCTCTCTCTCTCTCTCTCTCTCTCTCTCTCTCTCTTTCTCTCTCTCTCTCTCTTCACTCCCGTCGTCACATATAGGATCGGGACGGGCCTGTGTACTAAAAGGCTTACTACATAACTGGCGTACGCGCCGTTTATAACTCTACTCAGGTGTTCATCAAACAAAAAAAGCGCGTCACGACGTCACTCAATTCTGCGCCGGGACTGCGCGCTTGAGCAAGAGAGAAAGAGAGAGAGAGAGCGGGGTTGAGAGAGGGAGAGAGAGGGGGAGAGAGAGGGGGAGAGAGAGAGAGAGACGAAGGGGCGCGTGTGTGGGGGACACACGGCTCAGAAAGTAAACACAACCCCGAGACCCGCTTGTTTAGTCGCGAAGTTGACCATCAGGGGCAGATAGCGGATTGCGTTCCCAGTGTTGAAGTGACGTATGCAGCAGATGATGTTTTTTTTCTGGAGATGTGGCTTTAACTGTTTCTCTTTTCACTTAATTAATTAATGAGGTGTGAACATGATTGTGTTGTCAATTTTCAGTGATGTACTTATATTTCTTGGAAAAAGGAAAAGTCGTGTGAATTGTGTTATCGCTTGCAGTCCAAGGATTTTAACCAAGTAATTTGAATCTTTACAGCTGGGGGAAATTTTTGTTGTTGTTGCTGTTGATGTTGTTTGTTTGTTTGTTTGTTTGTTTGTTTGTTTTTCCCCTCGAGTACTACGTTTGGTGATTTTGGAGAAGATTGTTGTTATGAGAATATACCTCTGCAGATGTCTGTGTCGTTCGTCATTATCTGTGCATTTTAGAGGGCTTTGGCCTCAGCTTTAAAAAAAAGATTGTGTTAAGTAGCAGGAATACCAAAACACCTGTTTCAGAAAGCATTTGAACATCCAATTAGATCGAAAACGGTTTAGTCACCCTCCTTTTCTGTATAAGCGTATCGGTCAACAGGACTCAAATAGATGTGGGAGTGGGTGGGGAGAGGGGCTAGAGGGTAGGCACACTGGTGTGGTCTGGAGCTTCTATTTCCTTTTAGTCCTACTGTTGTCTTTATCATTTTAAGGCAAAATGTGGGCTTCATTGTGCTCACCGGTTAAAAAGTACAGTTTAAATACAACAATAGCAAAGATAACAACAACTGTAGTAATAAGATTAAGGGCACTTAAGAACGACAACATCGACGATGAGAGGACCAAACTTCAGCAGCTCCGTACAATCCTCTCATCATAGATCATAACGCGGATGGATGATGGATAGTGGGTGTTTCTTTGGGGTCTTCCCCTCATTATAGGTTCGTTGGATTTTTTCTTAGCTTTTACTACTTTACGCTTAGCATAACTTAATCGTCAGCACAGAGTACTACCGAGCTTTCATTATTGTTCAGTGCAGGATATGGCCAGAAAGTGTTTTTTATTTGCATGAAAGGAAAATGCAATCTATGACGCATACATTTTAAGCAAGTCTTTCATTTGTCTTTTCCTAACGTATTCTGAGAAAACAATGGACTGTGGTGGGTTGCTTTGTCACAGCCTGACTCATTGGTTTCTGTTTCGGACTCTTATCTACGTGGAAATCCCTTTGCTCTACCAGTGTAACTTGAAGCTTGCCGTAATCCTGCACACAACACCTGTCTCGTATAAGCCCCAGCAAAATGTTACCAGAATATATTCAACTGTTAAGTTAAATTGTAATTTTAGCCTGCTGTGATTTGATGAAGGTTTTTTAGTTCGTAAGGGGAGTTTTTCATGCGTAGTAGATGGGATACTGAGAGAGAAATGCTGAGGAGGGGGGTGCAGACATACAGTCACAAACAGACAGACACACACACATACACACACATGCACTTTGGCGAACGTGAAAACACACAGGCTGAGAAAAAGAGGAACGTGAGCTGAGAGAGAAAGAGGAAAAGAGAAGGACAAAGAAAGAGAGAGAGAGAGAGAGAGAGAGAGAGAGAGAGAGAGAGAGAGAGAGAGAGAGAGAGATGGGAGAGAGAGGGGGGAGGGGGTGGTCAGAGAAAATGAGAGAATTGAGAATAGGAAAGACTGAAGAAAGAAAGTAGAGATTGAAGTAGGACAATGAGAAGAAGTTTGATTCAATCGAGATCACAGAACTGGCATAGTGAGAGGAGAGAGAGCGAGCGAGAGAGAGAAAGCGAGCGAGCGAGAGCGAGAGAGAGAAAGAGAGAGAGAGAGGGGGGGGGAGAAAGTGAAAGAGAGAGTGAGAATTAAATAGAGGGAGAGAGGGGGAATGACGAGAGAGAGAGAGAGAGAGAGAGAGAGAGAGAGAGAGAGAGAGAGAGAGAGAGAGAGAGAGAGAGAGAGAGACGATTCGTTTACAAAAGAATGTGGAAACGGTTGCTCCTGCCTCCTGGGACGCTGCAATCGTCTTCCATTCAACGGCTTCCATTGTGAGGCAGAGATCTAACCGTTGACATTTTGACAAGGCCCATCTGGGGGCCTTTTGTTGTACCGGTCTGGTCTTCTCTTTATCTTCTGATTTTTGTTTGGGTTTGTTTTTGTTTGGGTTTTTTCGGCTATGTGTTTGTGTGAGTTGAGGGAGGAAAGAGGGTTGAAGGAACAAAGCGTTTAAGCTGATATTCTCGGAGTTGGATAAAGTATTGCGCATTATATATTATTAACATTAAGGCATTTGTCCGGTTCAGCATTTTCCTGTAAACTGTTCTTTCTATTTGCTATTTTAAGAATCCATCGCCACTATGTACATGTAATTGATTTTAGTTGTTTTGCACTCCTATTTACACTGCAGATCATGTCGGTGGTCACGTGGTATTCTACTTGAGCAACACAGAAAAGGTGTGGGGGATTTCAAGAAGGCAGAAACGAGTCAGTTATATGTTTTTTAAGGACAAAAAAGGGAAGAGTAAACGAAAAAAAACCCAACCTCACTGTAGACGCGGAAGTAGTGACCATGCAGGCTTTGACTCTGAGGTAGCGGAGAAGACGTGATGAAGACACGTACAGGTAGACGTTACACGTGGGATAGACAGGTAGACGTTACACGTGGGATAGACAGGTAGACAGCCCTGACAGGCCCGGATGAATGATTGGACGCTGGTGGGAGGTGGACACTCGGACGCGGGCTTGCTTCTTATACATGTACACTTATTTTTAGCTTTTGTGCTGTCTTATTCTGTTTAGGGGTTGGGGGGGGGGGTTTTTTTAAAAAGCAGCCGTGCCTCTGCGGATATGGTGTAAAACTTCTAAGTCAGCAGCGGACTAACGTTGTGACGTAAACATATAAAACAAAAATAGATGTGCAAATGAAGAAAGCCGCCCTTTGTAGGGGGAAAGGACAACGAAAATTGTATGCAAATGACCAGTAATGCAAATGAGTAATAATGCAAATTACCATCTTTCAAGGATTTCGAATTAGTTGTTTATCATAAGAGTGAAGGGCATGGGTAGTTTAGATAAAATATTATAGTTGAAATTAATATTAATTCGTTGCTGAATTTACCAAATATTTAGCAATTGGGATGTTTATGACCCCGTTTGCTTTTTTTCTACGGTATACACAGCACGTAGCGTGTGCTAGTTATCTCCACGGTCTTAACCGATCCGAGCACATATCGGGATCGTTATCAAATGGCGTATGTACAAAGATTTACTTGTGAAGTTATAATGAGAAATGCTCGTACGTACCACCTGAGCTTGTTTTTCTGTGTGGCTGATTGGTGGTAGTTGTGGCACCGTCTGTTCTTCCTACTTGTATACTTTTTGTTATCACTATCCTACTTTGTTCCTGGCGAAACGTAGCGGTTGTTATTGCTCTAGCTCCAACTGAGCAACAACTGTAAAAGCAGTGACAATAGCAAGAACCATAACGACAAGGAGGGTACAATAACAATAACAACAATGAGCTTCTATAACACAGCAGAAACAACACAAGAACAATTATAATGACAACAACAACAACAACAACAATAACAACAACAACAACAACAACAACAACAAATATCTCCATTATCATGCTACCTGACACTTAACTACAATCTGTTCAACAGTTTCTTTCTTTGTGATATATGTGTACGTGAGAGCAAACGCGTAGCTATTAAACCTTGCATCATCATCATCGAGCCAAGTGGTACTTATTGTATTATCAAATGGCCCTCAATAGAATCCTGTTATCTAAAGTGTAAGGAATGTGTGTAGATATTTTTAACAGGCTGTTTAAAAGACGATAGTCGTTCTATCACAGACAATAAAGAACCCGAGTTCGACTCCCGAATAAGGAGAAAATATTATCGAGTATCTCGGTCTTTCTGCTGGAATGATGTGTCCCTCCCAGTCCGTGACAGGGAGGGTCGGAAGCCTGCCTTCTAAATAATCTAAATGGTGTCTTGGGGGGCAGTGGGCTTAAAAACACCTACAGTTTAAAGAAAAAGACATATTATTATTGTTGTGAACTTTTCTGTTCCACTTTTCCATATCCATGCTTTTCAATAGGCAGCTTAGTCTAATTGTCCTACATTTTTTAGCAATTTATTGATGGGTGCCCTTGTGTAGTCTCCTTCTCCGTCTTTTTTCGGTGCCTTTCTTATCCTAATTTGCCCAAGATAAATGTGGTCTCTCTCGAGTTGACTAGACATACGACATGTCTGTTCACTGTTCACTACAACCGAACTTGACACTGAGCATTCAAATGTTTGGCATCTCGGTTGATCGTCAAGGAAGCTCTTCTAACATACACTTCTTTTGTCTTTTCCCTTTTTTTTATTTTTGAGGGGAGGGGGATTTTTCTTCTTTTCCTTCCACTCCTCCTACTCCAAGAATGCTTTTAAGATATACAGACACATGTTGCCTCTGTCAGAACCCCAGAATCCAATTTTCCCCTTGGCCACTGACTGTTATGTTTTGATGCTGTCTTGTTTATTTAGCTGGATTCTCTTGCCCTGTAAACCTGCGACGTTCAGTCCTGCGTGTAACGTAATTTGTTTTTGCTATCACGTGATCCATGGTCATGTGACTCCTTCAATGATCTCACAGCTTCATGGGAAACTACATCTTTATACATAATATGTGTGTGTGTGTGTGTGTGTGTGTGTGTGTGTGTGTGTGTGTGTGTGTGTGTGTGTGTGCTGAGGTGGAGGGTGGGGGTTGATTTTGTTTTTTTTGGTTTTGTTGTGGGGTTCTTTTTAATATGAAGAACCCATTACTCTAAACCCTGCGAAATAAATTGGTCGTTGTTCTGTTGAATAGTTTCAGGGCGGAGTAGTTTATTTGTGCTTTGTGCCTGGCAGGGATCGTTGATGGTAATGTGCTCTTGATAGGCAGTTGGTGGGTTCTCTGTTGCAATGTGTTCCTTTACTCCTTTATGTTGCAACAATCAGCCAAATCTGCTCCTGGGGGTGTGGCCTTCATTTTGCAATAGACTAGACTGCAGTTCACAACAACAACAGTAGCAACAACAACAACAACAACAAAACAGTATCAACAATAACAACAACAACAACAACAGCAGCAGCAGCAACATCAGCAACATCAGCAACAACAGCAACAACAACAACAACAACAACAACAGACTTTCTTCTGGATTTCTTCCCTTGCAGTCGTCGGTTTTCCCCGTTTCTATTTTTCTGGAGCACATAATTTGTTCGACCCAGATCGTGTATGTGACCCAATGCACGGCGGGTGCAAACAGCTGGTGTGGTGACCCTCGAGTGTGTTATCTTCTCACCTGTCATCTGTTAACCCTTTGTCTCCCTCAGAAATGTGGCGCAATTTGTAATTATCAATACCCCCCCCCCCCTCTCTTTCTCTTTTGCTCTTTGATGATCAATTTAACGGGCTGTTGGTAGGTAGGTGCGACCTTTGTGTTCTCCGTACTTCCTTCTTCCTTTTACTTTTTAAAATTGTTCTATTCTGCCCTTCCCCTCCCCTGGAAAAATGTGGATGATCTCATTTTGCCGGTATGCTGTAAAGTACAACTCGCTTCAGCCTGTGTTCCAGTTGAAATGTCTTTTTGTTTATCGATTTTCATAGTTTTATATTCATATCGAATTTATCGTCGCCTTATTGTACTCTCTCTACCTTGCATCCCGTGGTTTCATTGACGGTCTGCTATTTTCCTCATTATGGGTGTGTCGTGAATTCACACTGCGGTGTGAGCAACCCTAGCTTGAATCTCCAACAAGTTGTTCGTTTAAATTTACTTTATTTGAGTTTTTCAAGCTTATCTCCACTCTCCAAGTTTGCTCAAATCGGAGAGGAACTTAAAGCGGAGGTTCCTTGCCAATAAAATTAACTGACTATGTAGAGGGAAGTGTTAAACGCATACCGTACCATCGGTTGAAATACAGGGAAAATTGACGCAAATGAAATCCATCGCCATTATATAGGATAAGTGGCGCGACAAATATAATCGCTCTGTCGATTTATGTATACACGACGCGCTGATTCTTCCATAATGTTGACGCGTCGTGTTCAATTGGGTTAACAATGGGCGAGACAACCACAGTAACAGTGCATGCCGTGTCTCATGTACACTGGGGCCTTGCCTTGGGCACGTGCCAGTTTTGGTTGGATGGGTTTGCTGGTTTCGTTTTGTTTTATTTTTTCTCTTTTAAAAAAAATTAGTCTGGCCCAATTTTGAACCCAGGTCTTTTTTTGGAGAAAGATAAATCAGCCCAGTCTAGCAAAACTAAAATACAACGCTTCATTTTACTGTTGGATGTAGACTGGGGTGTTGATGATCAGTGGCTGAGTCTTTCGTGTAGAATACATTATACCCACAACGCGTTATGCCTTGTATTTGGGGTGAGTTTCTCTTGAATATTATTATCTCTGTTGTCCATTGTTCTGAGATTCCGTTGTACGGATTAAGATACTGGACTCTGAGCGTCTCTGGTAATGTCAGGTAACATAATCCTATTTACGTAAACTTGATATTCTCCGTCCAAACCGGATTCTTAAACGGAGTAACTGGTTGTTAACTGTTTAAGTCCTTAATTTGCGCAAGCATCAATTTGTTTTCTGGCCTAGGAAATAAGCAACCATCTTTTTGTGATTGTTCATAGTATTGTATGGATAAATCAAGGTTGTTTTGAGGCTCTGTATAATTTCTTTTCTTTTTTTCTTTAAGTTATACTAACAATTAAAGTACATACACACTGACTCTCTCTCTCCCTCTATCTCTCCCCTGTCCCTTTCTCCTCCCCCCCTCCCTGTTTCTCTCCCCTCTCTCTCTCTCTCTCTCTCTCTCTCTCTCTCTCTCTCTCTCTCTCTCTCTCTCTCTCTCTCTCTCTCTCTCTCTCTCTCCCCATTCCCTCTCTCTCTCCCTCTCACTCTCTCTCTTTCTATCTCTCTCTCTCCCTCTCGCTCTCTCTTTCTCTATGAGGTAGGGTAATACTTTCGCAAGGTCATTCGCTTCTGGCAAGGTTAAAGTTTCAAATTTCTTTTGAAAGTAATGTCGTGTTTCCAACCTTGCTTTTCTTTTATAAGTCCAGGTAACAGGGAGGGGTTTTTTTTTGCTTCTAGTTTCAGTTTCCCTGTACGTTTGTTGTGTGTGTTTGTTTGGGTTGTTTTTTGTTTTTTGTTGTGTGTTTTTTTTTTTTTGGGGGGGGGGTTAGTTTACGGTATATCCGTTCCAACCACCACCACCACCAAATTTTAAAAAAAGAAAAGAAAATCACAAAAGTCGGGCCTTTTCCCAAACGGTGGTGTAAAATTGCCTAAGCTGACAAACATTCCCTCACATTCCAAGGGATTTACTCGTAGACATGTACACATTGTAATGAGATGCTAATGGTAGACTATTTGGCAGGCGGCTTAAGATTGCCTTTAAAGCTCGCGAGTGTAAACAATAACAGCCGAAGAAGAGCTTCCTATAAATGTACCCCTCGAGTTTTAGACATTTGATACCCTTCGTGTTCCCCCTCGTTAGTTTAACACAATCCAGAGAGGAGGCTATTATGGCTTCACAAACCACGGGAGTCGGCTCAGCTTCTTGTGACGGTAGTTGCTCGAAATTGTTGAGAACATTACCGTGACAACGATAAGGCAAACGTGCAAGAGGATCATTTTATCGCTTGTCTCATTAAAGACACATCAGATTCCACCACGCCCTTCGCGGTTTCTATAGTCTGGATTAGAATCTTGTTGCTGATCTCATTGTCTGCGTGTGATTGACGTGAGAAGTTGTTCAGCTGAACGACATCCCCTCCCCCTCCTCCTCTCTAAATTCCTAAATTTCTTTCACTCCACTCGTCCTCTTCTTTTCACTTTCACTCACATGGCACACATGCGCACACGCACGCGCACACGTGAGAGAGAGAGAGAGAGAGAGAGAGGAGAGAGAGAGAGAGAGAGAGAGAGAGAGAGAGAGAGAATGATAGATAAAGACATAAAGACAGAGAGACAGACACGCAGAGAAAGAGAAAGAGAGAAAAACACAGACACACATGATATACAGACACAAACAAACACAACACATACACTCACACACATACACACACTGACACACACAAACACCAACACACACCAAAATACAAACACTCACACACACACACACACACACACACACACACACACACACACACACACACACACACACACACGTACACACACATATACGCACACAAACACATACACACATACACACACACACATTCACATACACAAACATACGCACACACAAACACAAGCGCACATAAAGTGCCATTTCTTTTGCCTGAAAATTTTTAAGACGATTTCATTTATACTTTTGCTGTAATGTCTAACCGCTGATGACGTAAAACAAATTGGCAAGGGACAAACCGTGTTAGTGAATTAACCCTTCAGACAACGAGCCCTATTTGATAAGAACTGTTTACGACTCTTTCGTGGTCACCGTACACACTCGCTGGTTTATTGTGGGTGTGGGTGGAAAGCGTCATGAATATTCGATCGTGACAGTAACTTTGAGTACGCTTTGTCTTGTCGCTGATCGTGGGAGTGGTCATCTTGTGTTAAGGTTGCTTCATTCTTTCTAGCGTGACTCACATTAAGCCAAGATCCCCCGCCCCCTCCCCCTTTCCTTCGCAAAAAAAATCCCGCAAAATCCCCTCGCCCACCCTGATATCACTCTCACCTCCAATACATTCTTAAACTCTCCGAGAGTTTCTGAGCGTCTAGCCCACCCCCATAACTTCTTTCGTGTCGTATCGAAAGTGATATCTCGGGGTTTTCCTTACAGCCTGTCCTTTTGTTACAATTCCTGTTTTCTTGGCTCCTGCACAGGTTGAGTCAAAGGGGGAAGTTCTGCTGACGTAACATGCTACAGTGTGCGATATTTACAGTCGTGATTGTTGAGAACTGAACATTCCTTCATTGAACCAAAGATTAGTAACACTCGCTACGTACGGATTTCTTGTCTGGAATATCTAGCAGTGACTGGCGTGGATAACAAGAAATTACGAGGAAAATGCATAAACTGTTTTCGTTCCTCGGGATTATCATTTGACATAAACCTGGGAAAAACTGCTGATGAGAACGGTTAAGCACATATCCAAGATGTGATTTCGAACTCTGAAAGTATTAGTTACTGTAACACGTACGGAGTAAAGAACTGGATTAACGCTCGTCTATTGCGCCATGGACGGCCCAAAGAGATATTCCCCCTCAAGAAAAGCGGCCTCTGCCTTGTGTGAGTTCCATGCCAATAACAACATGACTCACGAAGGGGGCACTCGAACCTCCAACCATCGGATGCTGGTCAGTCTTGAAGATCTTGACCGGATATCCCGACACTCACTCAACTGGGAGGAATTCTTCGGTAATATCTGCATGCATTTTGTTATTGTTGGGTTTGGTTGTTTTGTTTTTTGTTTTGTTGTTGTTGTTGTTGTTGTTGTTTTGGTTGGTGTTTTTAGTGGGGGTTATGTGTTTGTGTGTGTGTGTGTGTGTGTGTGTGTGTGTGTGTGTGTGTGTGTGTGTGTGCGCGTGTGTGTGTATGTGTGTCTTCTCTGTGTTTTGACGGCTGATGTGGACTCGCTTATTGTTCACGTTATGCTTGTGTATTTGTCTTGTGCCCCATGCTTGTTTCTTGTCTCTGGGGCGTGGGGTGTGGTGCGTGTTTGTGTTTATGTATACGCGTCATATAGATCTTGTGAGTGTGTATGTGTGTGTGTCTGTGTGTGTGTGTGTGTGTGTGTGTGTGTGTGTGTGTGTGTATGTGTGTGTATGTATGTGTGGTTTTGTTGATCGTGCTTGATATGTCTGTGCTTGTTGTTTATTGTTTCTGCTTACCCTTACATTGTTTGTGTTTATATTATAATGGCTGTTTACGTAAAACCTTTTGTTGTGAGTGCTTTGCGAACTATTGCTTTTTTCTGACACTTAATGGCCGTCATTTCGTTGATGTGCTTTTGTTTACTCAAACAAACTCACAAACAAACAGTGTAGTTTGTGCGCATGTTGTAATACGTGTGCTGAAGGTATCATGCGTGTCTCTTTTTCTGCTCTCTTGCTCTAACTACATGAATAAGTGTGCGGGTGTTTGAAGGATGCTCTGTGCGATCCTCTCCCCTTACATCTCAATTCTTTTTACTGTTATCTTACACGAAATGTTCTTGGCTAAATATGTCCGTTATCGTGTGGTCTTACTGTATACCCAGCAGAGCTACCTACACCGCAATTTAAGAGTTCGTGGCGCATGACATTCTTCGTGTAAATCAGCATGAGCGACTTTACTGACTTCATAAACTATGTAAATGCCCTTGCTTTATCCATGTCGCACAAAAAAGCGCCTTTTGGCTTCACAGTTTGTCAGATAGGTGGACGAGTTGCCTTGGATGAGGCATCAAGGAAATAAAGTATGGAGGGTTGGGTTTTTTTCAGAGGGTACTTTGTTCAGGTGAGTGGCCCGAGGCGCTCTTTTTTTCTCTCTTCTTTTCCCAGTTATATAGTACTATTCCAATGTGGTTCAAGTGAATATCCACTGGATCTCAACTACTTTTAAAGAATGAAACTATGGCTGACCAAAACAAGGAAACATGTTATAAAGAGAGAGTATAGTGGGGAGGGGGGCGAGCTCATAAAGAAAGACACAAAGAACTATTGGACGAGTGATAGATTGATGGAGGCTGAAAAACAGCTGAAGCACAATCAAGTATTGTGAATGAAAGAAAGTGTGTCCATAGCTAAAAATAGTTGAGGTGTTATGCCTTTTTGTTTGGGGGGAGGGTGTTAAATTAGAAAGAGCGCGTATAGGAGAAAGAAATGGAGCTGTATAATATTCAAGTTGCACGCGCGAGCTCTCTTCCTTGAATGGATTATGAAAACAAAATAAATTGCACCCGCGAGGAGGAGGACGCTTGAAGTTCAGACACCACAACGGTTTGTCCCAACGCTACCCGTGAACCCCTTACACCAACGTTTCCTAAAGGTTAATTTCCAATCGTCGGTCATTGTTTGCAGATTACGTGTGAAATCTGGTACCTTAACTACGCCCTTTTTTGTCATCTTGTCAGGGACAATTTCTGTATTCCAGTTTGCCTCACAATAAAGGGCGGGGTCGTGCGGAACGGCCTGAACAAAAGGAGCCGTGGAAGTCTTTTGTCGCAGCTACGCCCCCCTTGCAGTTTATAGTAAACGATAAAAAGTGGGAAAGAAGGGTCAGCGAGTTTGTCAGTTGCTCAAGCAGCACTGGGGGTCTTCTCTGATGCAAGAGAGTGGTGGATACATACTTGAAGTCACCATGAAATAATCGAACTTTACCCCGGAGAAAAATAAACCAGAGTATATTTTGACGGAGTTGAACTTAACAACAAAAGTTAAAGCCTTTGAAGTTTAATGAGAATTTTATAAGCAGAAAGGCCGAGATACTTAATAAAAATGTTTTTCCCTCTCGGGAATCGAACTCCGGTCTCCTGCGTACGACTGCGAAACGTCTTACCGCAACGCCAGAGACGCCGGTCGAGAATCTGTAACTTACCGCTCATTGTGCGATATTTTTCTTTTTAGAAACGATCTGCCTCGCGTGTCAAATCGCACCTCACGTGCCGCAGTCGTTTCTGCTCAGGGAAAATAATCACAAACCCCAGGATCACTTTGTCTTCACCTTCACCTTCATTCTCAGACAAACCTTTCAGCCGAGGCAGGGAGTTACCGGAGTCGAAAGCCCAGGAAAGAAAGAGACAAAATCAGGTGACAGCTGCTCACGCGTGGGGTACCCCGCGGCGCTTGCTGGGCGCTCACACAATTCATCAGCTTTATAAAGCTGCGTGTACCCCTTCCTGACTCCTCCCTGAATTTCTTCAGGTTCTGCAGAATGGTGGCGACCGTTCTTTCCAATATGAACCGATGGTTTATCTCCTGGGTCACGATTGAATGCTATTCAAGGGTAGATTAAATTATAGAATAATTCATCTTCACACGGAAAAAAGAGAACTGTTATTCTGGTCTCCATAATTATTACGAGGAGAAGAAGAAGAAGAAGAAGAAGAAGAAGAAGAAGAAGAAGAAGAAGAAGAAGAAGAAGAAGAAGAAGAAGAATGTTAATCATGATAATAATAATGCTGATGATAATAGCAATACTCTGACTCAGTATTCCTTGTTGCACAATTATCCTGGATCAGTTCCTCATACTCTCATCAAGGCTAACTGAAATGGGTGTCTTTATAATATCTGTTACAGTACACTAGCCAGCCCGATCCGGCAAGTTTGGTCATACTGTATTTGAAAGACACTCGATGTGAACCCTACTTAATTGCTCACGACTCCCGCTGCACTCTCTCGCCTCCGTCACAGAATATTACTTCCTTGAGCCTCGCGGCCCCACGCCGACAACCCGCAGTCTTTTGAGTCCTTTCAGACTTCACAACAGCGTCACCCCAGTTCTTGAGGGTCTTTTCTTTAGCGGGTCGGGGATTTTTTTAGCAGCTTTTTGTCTTAGCGTGAACTTTGCTGAACTTTATAGCGTGGGATCAACTTGCGATAGCACAATGCAACGGCTACCCACGGGTGTTCCCACTTCTCACCCAATTGTTACAAAGATTTATATCCCAAGTGTGTGTCTTTTTATAGCCGGTTTATATTTAAATAATATTTCTTTAGTAGTCAAAGCCTTTGTTGATTATAAGACAAAATTAATACGCCCCCTGTCTTTCGCTCTCTCTCTCGCTCTCTCTCTCTCTCTCTCTCTCTCTCTCTCTCTCTCTCTCTCTCTCTCTCTCTCTCTCACTCTCACTCACTCTCTCTCTCTCTCTCTCTCTCGTTCTCTTTCTCTTTTTCTATCTCTCTGTCTCTGTCTTTTTTTCTCTCTCTCGATGGCCTAGTGGTTAGGCTATCGGACTCGTGGGTTCGAATCCCGTCAGGGACCCGACGTTGTGTCCTTGGGAAAGGCACTTTACACGACTTTTCCTCACTTCACCCAGGTGGGAATGGGTACCCGGCTATAGACAGCGAAAGATCTTGTCAGTTTGTTAGTGTTTGAGCGTTTAATCAGCTGCTTGCACTGTATGCTTCCCGGGTTCTATGGTCTGCTGGGATAATAATATAGTGTAAAGCGCTTAGAGCCTGCTGTTGACCGGGGATATGCGCTATACAAATGCTATTTATTATTTTTTATTTTTTTCTCTTTCTCTCTTTTCATTCTCTGTCTCTCTCTCTCTCTCTCTCTCTCTCTCTCTCTCTCTCTCTCTCTCTCTCTCTCTCTCTCTCTCTCTCTCCCTCTCTCTCTCTCTCTCTCTGTCTCTCTGTTGCTACCTCAGTCTCTCGCTCTTTCTCAAACTTTCTTTTTTTTAAATCTCTCTCTCTCCCTCTCTCTCTCCCTCTCTCCCCCCCCCTCTCTCTCTCTCTCTCTCTCTCTCTCTCTCTCTCTCTCTCTCTCTAACTCCCACATTTGCAACCGCTTATCGATTGATTCCCTGACATTTTAATTGTTCCCGCCTTGCTAATTGTAAACAAGTTTTGAGAAAAGAACGCAGCTTCGACATCAATGCGTGAGGGCACTCTTCAAGACTGGAGGAAGATTTTCTTTTTTAAACTCTCTCCGATATGAGCCCTAATTAAGAGCGTGCCAAATTCGAAATCTGACGAATTATTGTTCACCCTGTGAAGAAGGAAATGTCTTTCTTTTTTTTCTTGGAAAGGGGTGGGGGTGGTTGTTACAAGAGGGCAATTAAAATTATCGAATGCTTAAAGAACGCTTGAACAAGGGGAACTGAATTTTTTCTTATTAAAGTCTCAAAGACAAGGGTTTCGTTTCCTTTGTTTTATTGAGCGGGGGGGAGCGCGCGCGCGCGGATATATATATATATATATATATATATATATATATATATAGAGAGAGAGAGAGAGAGAGAGAGAGAGAGAGAGAGAGAGAGAGAGAGAGAGAGAGAGAGAGAGAGAGAGAGAGAGAGGGAAAGAGAGATATGGAGAGAGAGGGAGAGAGAAGGGGAAGAGAGAGAGAGAGAGAGAGAGAGAGAGAGAGAGAGAGAGAGAGAGAGAGAGAGAGAGAGAGAGAGAGAGAGAGACGCATGTTTTGTCACTGCACGAATGCACGAAAGTTATCGTATCATTTACGTTCCCAGTAACGTCTGTTTTGAAAGTATCCACAGACCCGAGACATTTTGTTTTCTCATTTGATCATCCGCAATCTTCAAGAAGCTATCTGTACAAGGGTTTCTTTGTAATCGGTGTGGAATCGAATTGCAGAATGAGTGGGCAATACATCACCAATTACCCCGTATTGTGTCGCACTCGGTTTTCTTTTCCGATTCCAGTCAGTTCTGCCTGCAGTTAAAAACCTGCAGGTAGATAAGGCATGTTTAG